AATAAGTGACATGAGACTGAACAAATGGTAAGGAAGACTTTGGGTGATCCCTGATTGTATCGCCAGTTTCTTTACTGTACTACTGAAGACAGAAGAGGCACTACAGAGCCTGCAGGTGTCTTTGCTAAGCTAGGTTACATCACAAACACCCTCTTTTTGAATCTGGTAACCAGGGAAAGTTCAGAAACATGGTGGGTCCATTATACAAGGGATTTGAGTATGTGGTGGCTGGAAACATACAGTACAGAAGAGATGTTTTGGTTCTGTTTGAGGCTGCTCTTCCACTCCCCAGTATCGACAGAGCCAAAATGGCTTGCATTAAAGTGAACCATTACAATAGGCCAGCAAGGTAATGGCAGTCGTCGGAGTAATTGTGGGAGACAGCTCAGTTCCACTGGCTAAAATCAGAGCATTTTAAACACACAGCAATGAATCTACACACTGCTCGCTACAAGTCCTTGCCGCAATAAGAAAGTGATTTTCAAATAGCAATACATCTGCAGCCATCTCATCTTCAAAACATGTTCCAACTGCTTTATAGCTTGTGGCAAAATAATAAATAACCCAATAAATAAACTAATAAATACAGTTGATCAATAAATAGCTGTGGTCAAGACAAATATGTGCATGGACTTTTTGCAGACAGTTTTCAGTATCATACAGCAGCCTTAGATCCAGGCTACAATGGAGGACACAGAAACAATTTACCTTACTGGTCATTGCAGAGGAGGTACACACACACATACACAGTCTCTCTCTTTCTCTCACACACACACACAAATACAGAATCAACATAATCGTTTAAGTGTGGAAGAGAATAAAGATACATCATACATGTTTTTCACCTCTGTATGCAGATGTCTGACATACTGTATACAGTAGGCCAGAGGGCAGCATAGACGCTCCCTGGAATCTTTAATCACAACCGAGTACTCTCCTACTGTAGGAGCAGCATGTCTCTCCCGATGCATTATGCTAAACAAACCTCCTATAGGGAATATACAGTGCATAGTTTACAAAGCCAGAAATGAGAGTTTACATCTATACAGGCAAACCTATACAATTTTTAATCATAAAAAGCTTTCTTCTTGTTGGTTCCTATTTCATTCACTAACTTCTCTTTTGTTCTCACTTTAGTTGATCTCCGAGCTCCAGTGAAATGAATACATGATAAGGGGAAAAAAGTTTCTGAAATGTACAGCAAGCCATTGATGTGTCCTCTCTTTGTCTTCTACTCAGCTCCGATTGTTAGGTTATGTCTATATATTCATATAGTATATAGTTTTAATTGATTAATTTTTGGTTGTTTTGTGGAGGAAGAGAAAGAAAGTGCTAGCATACAGCAAGATTTGTTCTCTGGGCCACACACCAAATTCATTTCTGACATGTGGTAACCCATTTCCTTGAATACCTTGGATATGTGAAGACATGAACAGTGGCAGTCAATTTCATAATAATGTGCTATATCAAAATACATTTCTCCTCTTTGTTCCAAGCTCTGTATTAGAGAGGGATAATGGTCATACAGTAGGTCGAGGAGTTTGAGCCCTGGACTGTACAGCAGTGCTGGCACTGTTGAGGGAGATACATGATTTCTGAACTGGAGCACAGTAAATTTAACAGGACATCTTCTTTGTCTGTTCCATTCAGAAGCCATGGCTGTC